GGATATTTATGGTTTGATTTCTTTGTATGTATGGATCACTTGGGTTGTTACCGACATCTGGTGAAAATTTCATGTCATTAGCATCTCTAGTAATATATTTACTGAGAAAAATGTTGACGTGTTCAATACTTATATTACGTGCTGTAACCTGTTAAAAATTCACAAATCTAAATGAACTAAATACATTGATGCTCTCATTGTATTACAGCAACAATAAAGAAAACCAGAAGTTATTTATATCATTAAGCAGCAGAACCAGACTGTTACCTTCTGAAGAGGAATAGTTTCCGCTGACTCATCCTCTGAGGGGACATCCTGGGAAGTCTCAGGTGTTTGAACCTCTGGATGGAGCTCCAGGCAGCTGACTTCATGACGACAGTACCTGCAGAAGGAACATACAGTCACTGCTGGGATAATGACTCTCACTGTCAGAAAAAATAGGATTGCTTCATTAAGTGATACATAAACAATCCTGGGTTCTGAAGAAAGGACCTCATTGTGACTCAATGGGGATTTTGTTCACTCTTATATTGAGCAATCTGAACACTGTGTTTAAAACCAGAGTCAAAGAGAAAACTGCAACTCTAACAGCACTGACAATATTTTATTCTGTTATCCACCAATAAAAAAGAGACACTTCAACAAGTACCAGACTATTAGTTCTTTTGTAATAATAAAAACACAACTTTTTAAGTGTTATTTATTCATGTGAAATACTGTGTTGGTATCTTTTCTGGTATTACTCAGTAGATTTCCTGTCATGGATTTAAAAAATGGTTATGTGCTTTATCATCAATAAATTTCACAGAAGACTTGAAATTTGTCATGTAAGAACATCTGAACTCATTTGACTTGGAAGAAAACACATATTACACAAATTTTACTCATTTTGACACATAATGGATTTTATTATTATTATTGATTTTTGTAGAACTTGACAAAGTGAAACAGGAAGTGAACTCTAAAAAAAGAGAACTCCTTGGTTGTTTTTATTGAAACAATATTATTTAAAACTCTGAGTCGTCTCCGTCTCTGATAGTGACACTAAATAATTTAAAGAAATGTCAGGTTCTTTGCGTTAGCTGTTGTGGAAAAGTTCTGTTTAAATGCAGACAATTCCCTTCATCACTTCCTGTTCCTGCACAGGCAAATATTTCAAAAACTGTTCTTCTTAACAGCGTGATTATTTTTGCATCATGTTACTAACCCTTGTATTGTCCTTTAACTTTATGACCATTCGTGTTCCTTGTGGGGAGAAGACCACCTTTATCTGCCTTAAAATACTCATTTTAAAATATTTTTTCCACAACAAACTAGTCCGTCTTTTAGAGCTCTCTCAGACCAAAATAAAAATATCATATTTGAATGTTTTTGTTTTAACTCCTTAAAGGCTTTTAGTCTTAAAAGTGCTCATGTTTTTTTTAATCAAAAAGATAAACAAATTTATATTTTATAGCAATTTTTGAAACAATGTTTTCTGATATGTTAGTACGCCCAAGATGGGTTTTTCTGACAATTTTTATTTATTTTTTTCTCTCCCTGTCCAGAGTTTTGTGAAGACCCTCCAGCCCCCGGACGCTTCAGAGCCAGTAGCTGAAAACGATGCTTACACTGTATTTACAGTCTGCGTGCTTGTAGAATGGCTTTTTTTAATTGAATGTTTACAAAAGCAAGTGTGCTTTTGCTTTTTACATTTAAACTAAAACTATGTTATCTGAAGAGATGAGAGGCAGAGCGTCAGGCTGAGAGAAAGTTCTGCTTTCTGGGAAAGTTGAAGCCAATTGTGAGAAATTTGTAATACGGCTCTCAAATTTAAAAGCAGAGCAACATCTTGTGGATTAATATAAAATTTAAAAAAAGTGTAAGGCTGAAAAGGTTTAAAAAATGTAAATTTTATGATAAATACAAGTTGTTTTTAAAACTATTTCAATGTGGCCGATATTTTCTCAAAGGAACAAGAGAGTGTAGTAAATTTACTGTGAGGTTAGGGGAGTGTTTGAATATATAACAAAAACACAAACAAAAATGAAAGCTTGTCTGATTTTTCACCAAAACACAATACTTAAGGATATCTTTTCAAAAATACAGAGCTGGACTCCAGTCAGCTCTGCCTTCTGCAGGTTATTTTGCTTGATTTTTTTTTTTCTGAAGCCAGTTGTTAAAAGAGCTAGAAGAGCAGCTGGTTTGATCCTACTGTATACTGAACGTGAGCATGCAGCTGATGTTCACGTCTTTTTTCCATCACCACATTAACAAAAAAAATGTTTTTCCTTTGCGGACTCTTTACCCAACACAACACTGAGCATTGAGTGGAAAAAACACAATATCCAGCCATCATTATTGTTGTTTATATAATTAGACTACTGTGGGAGGGCAGAGGGAGGATCTATGATAATTCATGGCCCGCCGCATTTTAGCCCGTTTATACACTGTTAGGAAACAGACGTCCAAAATGATGCAATCGCTGACCTGTCTCATGTCGTATTTAAAGGGGACCTATTATGCAAAATTTACTTTTTAAAGCTTTTTTTACTCAACTTTGGGTATGTACTTCTTAAAAAAACAGTCCTAGGACCAAAAAATGCATCCAGGGGCATATTTACTGTAAGTAAATGTATTTTTAATGTGCATTAACGACAAGTTTTATACTTTCGTCATTTTGTGATGTCACAAGCCGTATGACAACCCACCGGAACCTGCGTTCAGCCCCTTAGCAACCCCCGGGTGAGACTCCACCTCCTCAGTATAAAGAGCCGTCACGGTGTTCTTGTGCAATGTGCAGCTCATTTTACAACAAGCCTCCAATAGGGCAATGGGTAGAGTGTTGGACCAGAGAGTGGGAGACCAGGGTTTGAGACCGGTATGGACACTATTTAATTATTTATTTATTTTTGTTCATTATGAACTCGTTTTCTCATGTACCTCTATGGTTTAGCTTATTAAAGCCTTAAAGGTATTATATCATGCTTTTAAATCCTTCTTTTTCACATCTAAATCATTCACTTATGGTCTATTTAAAATAAAACTGCACCACTTTGGTCTTAATTCCT